ATATAAAAACTAGTATAGCTTTTAGAAAGTTTCTCAGTCAGGAATTTATGTAGAATTTTAGAGATGAATTAGAGGAAAATATACTATTCAGAACCAGAGATTGTGCTTATCTAAAAAGTTATGAAGCAAACATTGTGAACTTTGAAAAATATTTTATTGATTTTATTTAAATCATACTTTAAGAAGCAATAACAAAATGATGAAAAATAAAACATCACTGGCATTGAATACTTCTCATTTGAAATACAGTAATATTTCTGAAAATAATTTCAAAATTTACCTATATATTTTCTATTTTAGTTTTTCAGTGTTTTTTATTATTTGGTAGGTAAAATTAATAAGAAAATATTATGGGGCTCCTTAGAATGTGTTTTGTTGTATAAAAATCAAATGCTGTCTCTGTGTGGGACATGGGCCTGTTTAATAAATGTAGCATGGAGTCCCGGTGGGAATAAATAACACCAGAGACCAGGCTGATGGCACTGATCCCGCTTTTATTCTTTGTGGCATAATCTTTATTTTGCTTAAGTGTTTTTGCCCAGTAGACTCAATTTTTTGCTTTTTAGTTGTGCTGTGCTTATTGTACTTATTGTGTACGTTTACCATATTTACAAATCTACACTTGTTTTAATAAGTATTTTTAACATTATGACAATTGATAAAGAAAACTAAAAGAGATACATCAATTAGAAGAATAAGTTAGATATATACATGTATCACGTACATATTTTAGATATGATACATACGATCCACACAGGAGGATTACAGTGGACACTCATGGAATTAATGGTGAAAGAATGAAAAATATAACTACATATGTGTCTGGTACACGTCTGTGTTGGAGAACAAAAGGATCTATGTTGGAAGCTCAGGGGTCTATGCTGGAACCCTGAGGAAAATGGAGGTAAACACTGAAAAACAGACTCAAGATACTTCTTCTGTCTACAGAGAGATTGGTATCTTTGTAAATCTGACACACATGTTATTTTGTAAATTACTAGATGTTTAAAATATTGTAAAGTTTCCAAACTATGCACAGTTAATTTTTTGATATAAGTATATACTTAAGTGTTCAATTAATTAGAATTTCAAGATGTGAAACAATAAACAATTATTCAGTTGTAGCTATTTAACATATGATAAAATCATAAGAAATGCACAATAGACAACTTTATTAAAATGCATAAAATATTGATAATCATTATGTTATTGAAATATTGTAAAAATAGTAGGTTAAATAAAAATTAACAATAAATTTTAGATGCAAGTTTCCAGAGGCAAACTCCAAGATTTAATAACACTATTACTTTTGTGGATAAAAAGTAGATACTGATATGTTTACTTAAATACAACTACCATTTTCAGAGGCACTCTATCCTTCTTAACATTAATTTTATTAATAATTTTTCCTGAAATACTGAGATCTGTACTGAAAGAAATAATGAAGATCTTAATAAATTCTTGGAAAAATTTATGTAAAATAGTCTCATGATATTAACAACTTTGTAATAGAAAGGTTTTATATTAGTTCCTTGAATCAGAACTCATAGCATTAATGTACTGTTTTTGAGAAGTATGTAAGCGCTGACTTTCTGGCATTATTTGTACCTGAGAGTTAACAGAGCAAAGTGAACATGATGTCTCTTCCATTTAGGTTCTGGGGTCATAGTAGTTTGGATTTATGACAGGATTTGTGAGATGAAGTCCTCTTTAATGTTGCACTGGGAAGCACAGAAGCACACGTGTTTTATAAATGCTTTCTTATTCTAGAATCATTTCAGTTTATACCTGGATTTTAATGTAAACCAGACTCTATATGAACAATATTTTCACTTTCATTGCTTCTTCTATTTCTGATAGCAACCTTTAACATTTTGGGGGAGGAGTACCAGGGATCAAACTCGCTACCTCATGCTTACCAGGTATGCTCCTTAGCTGCAGAGCTAAATCCCCAGCCCTTTTAACAGTTTTAACATGACCTTCTGAACTATTTATATGAACTGGAAAACAGGCATAAATTGTTTAATAAATCAAGGATATTATATATCATTTATGACTTTGAATCCAATTTTCATGAGAACCATAAGTATTACTAGCATTTAATCATAATATTATAAAATTTTGAAATTTTATTCTACACATCAAAGTGGAAATGTAGGTCCTTCACATGTGATTTGTTTTTCTCCTGAATACATGAAAATATTTTGGTTTCTTTAAAATTTTCAATTTTGGTGCCTAAATTAATATCCATGAGATAATTAGATAAGGAACAATTTACAGTCTGACACTTGATTTCCAACTGTATTATATCATTTGAATTACTATGGAGAGTTAATTTTTATGGAAAACTGAAACTTGTTTATGTATCTTCAAATTCCACCAAAATATCTAAAGTTTTGCTTCAAATAATTTTTAGATTTTCTGTAACTACAATGTTATCCCATTTTTGTATTCTAAGGTGAATATAATTATTTACCTCAGTCAGAAGAATATTAGAAAATAGTTATCAAATTGACCATTATTGGTCTGAAAAATTATAACATATTTGATGACTTGAATATTTTTGATTCACTGTGTTTAATTCTATGCAGCTTTCTTTGTCTCTCTCTCTCTCTCTCTCTCTCTCTATATATATATATATATATATATATATAGTGACTGCTTTGAACTTATGCTAATTTAAATTACTTTATTCATATGTAGTTAACTTCATATGCACCTGCCCACATCCACTGCAATGTCATATAAAAGTTTATTGCTCATATAATGAGGCTTTATGGAAAAAGTACCCCAGGTTCCCGTACAAGAATGAAAATGAGACAGAAAAGAGTAGAGGCCAGCACTGGTTATTATTACGTTTAAGGAGTGTGTCCCAAAAGGGTTGCTGTGTTGACTGACAGAATAAATCACTTGAATTTCTTGTTGATGTTAAAGGAGTGGGGAAGTGCTTAAGTTTTATTTTTAGTTTGTCCTGATAGAAGGGCAGAAAAGAAAAGAAAAAAGGGTGAAACTTCAGTGCCATTATTAATCAAAGTTCAGAACAGGAACCAGCCCTTATATAATTCACTCCTGAAGTCTGATTATAGCTTCAGTGTAGTGTATTGCATTTATTGAATTGTATTGCTCTAAGTAAGCCATCTGGCTGGCACTTTCTGAGTTTTGCAGCCTCAGGCCAATAAGGGAGTTAAAACTTTCAGTGAATACTGTGTTCACAAGTCCAGCAATGTACATTTTCAGAAATAAAAAGAGTTCTTTGGTCACTCTCATTGCCATTTTTAGTTCTAAGGGGTGCAGTTTTCTCGATGAGGCTTTGTTTTATGGGTTCAGAGAAACATGACTGTAGATCATATTAATCTAGTTGATGTTTCATGTGAGATAAATAATCTTGAATAAGAAATTGTTGACTGGATATTGGCTGTACCGGGTGAACAGACCATTGGCAATGTCCCAGTTATTTGCTTTTGTTATCTAAGGCATCTAGTGCTAGGACTAGTGCCCCAAATTTTGGGCAATTGTGCTGAGATTGGCATTTTCTCTTTAGTTTAATGTATCATGGTTAATGGGTGTGTGTCAGCCACTTTCCTGAGGTCTCATCAATTGTTTCAGTGCTGCTGTCACTCACAGCTTATAAGCTATTTTTGGTTTGTTTGTTTATTTGTTTGTTTGTTTTTCAGTTTAATTAGTTGATCTAAAGAGGCCCAGGATGTCTCCATGGATTCTGGAAAAGGGAGGACTCTGTACAGCACCAAAGCCTCTGACAACTGAGAACAGGGAAAACACTTTCTCCTGCATATAACATGTGTCATTAACCCCTGAGTTTGTTTTTAACTCTTTGGTATTATTTTCAGTTTAGCAAGCATTCATGCTAAATTTCTAGACTGTGTCTTTTATGATGTAAATCATAATGAGTAGAAAGTCCACACACTGTGCCTGTAAACTTTTAAAAAATTTGAATGAGATTCCTATAGCACCTGTCCATAATCATTGCCTTGATGTTACATAAGGAAGTTAGGAAGAACATTTCATTTTCCATCAAGACCCTGAACACCTAATTGGTCTTATAGATAATCCAAGGACCTGAGAATAAATTCAGAAAGGCAGATAATAAACTTCTCTATCTTGAAAAGTATATAAAGACTTTGGAAGTGCTGTGAGAGTCGACCCCCCTGCTACAACCCCCTCCCCAGAGCGGGGAATGAAAGGGTTAACTCCCTAACTCCCCAGAGCGGGGAATGAAAGGGTTAACTCCCTAACTCCCCAGAGCGGGGAATAAAAGAGTTGACTCCCTAACTTCCCAGAGCTATCAAAACAGAGCAGTAAAGAGTGCTTCACTCCCTAAACCTTTTCCCAGGAGATAGTCAGAGCGGGGCCAAAAGGAATGTCTCTGCTAGTCATTAGCCACTAGATGTTCTGTTCTTTGTAAAGATAGAGATAAGCAAAAGAATGTACTGTATAAACAGGACCAGGGAGCACCTGGCACTCTAAGGTCAACCCAAGACCCTCGGTCTCCATGGTTACTCAGCCCCAGACCCTCAAATCAGCATTAGCCAGGTCCTGCGCCGCTCAAAATTAACCAATGCGATTTGCTTCTGTAAACTTGCTTGCCTCCTGCGTGTACCTTTAAAAACCCTGCACAAATTCCCCTCGGGGCCCCTCCGCACACGTTTGCCTGAGGGACCCCATGCGCATGGAAATAAACTTTCTTTTCCTCACCAAGAGCTGAGTCCTTGGGGTCTCTTTCCCTGCGGCGTTGGCCCTAACATCTTGGAGGCTCCAGCGAGATTAGCACGTCTCACGGGAGGTGACCCCAACGGCTCTACGGGTGAGTACGACTGGTCGCTTTTCATACCACCGGTGTTTACGCCCCGAGCCATACGGCTCCGATCTAGGGGCAATTTTTGTTATCTGTTTCGTACTCTGTTCCCTGGTGACTGGGGGACGCCCCACACGGTTTCCGTGGTTCACCGTCTGCAATAGGGTCTCCCTATCGATCTGGGGGATTTCGATTCCCAATCTGTGGTCCGTCTGGGCCAATCTGGAGACACCCTTTGAGGTGACTCATCTGGGGGATTTCGATTCCCAGTCTGTGGTCCGCCCGGGCCAATCTGGAGACACCCTGTAAGGTGTCTCATTTGGAGTGAAACTGATGCGTATGCATGTGAATGAAGTGGCCGGCCTGATTGTTTTGTGTGTCGTGGGTGCTGTGTTAGGTTATTTGTTGTACCGCGCTTGCGTTAACCGCCCTGTGACAATAGAACGTCATGGGACAGTCGACCTCATCCCCATTGTCCCTCACCCTCGACCATTGGTCGGAGGTGCGGAAGAGGGCTCACGATCTCTCCTTGCAGGTCAAGAAGAGTAAGTGGCAGGATTTCTGCTCGACTGAGTGGCCTGCTTTCTCTGTGGGGTGGCCACCAGAGGGGACTTTTCATCTGCCCCTCATTCTAGCAGTTAAGGACGTCATCTTCCGCCCCGGACGAAGGGGGCACCCTGATCAAGTCGCTTACATCCTGGTATGGCAGGACCTCAGGGAGGAACCCCCATTATGGGTAAAATCCTTTCTTCCCCCTTCTGACTCATCTGTACCAAAGCTTTTAGCTCTGAAAGGACCTCCCACTTCGGCTCCGGTCCTGCCCGAGTCTCAGCCTGATCTACCCTTACTCGACTATGACCAGCCTCCTCCTTCTCAGCCGACTCAACCTCCCCCGTACCCACTCTCTCCTCCAGCCTCCTCGTCCGAATCGAGTGCTGCTTCTCCGTCAGCCCCCTCTTCACCTGAGCTAAATTCCTCTTCTCCTCCGGTACCCACGTCCCCTCTATATCCCCCACTCCCTGCGATGGCTTGCCCCGAGCCCACACCTCCGGGGCCCACGGGCCCAGCCCAGAACACTCGGAGCAAGCTACGGCCTGAGGATCCAGTCGTTGCCCTCCCTCTCCGTCCCTATGGGCCCATGATAGACGATGGGACAGATGGAGGGCAGATGCCCGCTTTACAGTACTGGCCTTTTTCTACCTCAGATCTCTATAACTGGAAAAACAATAACCCTCCTTTTTCTGATGATCCTTCTAAGCTAACAGGTCTAATGGATTCTGTTATGTTCTCCCACCAACCCACATGGGACGACTGTCAACAGCTCCTAGGGGTCCTGTTCACCACCGAGGAAAGAGACCGCATCCTCCTGGAAGCCCGGAAAGCTGTTCCCGGAGAGGATGGCAGACCCACCCAGAGACCAGACCGGATCGATGACTTCTTCCCCTTAAAGCGCCCCAACTGGGACCCCAACTCACCTGCTGGTAGGCAGCATCTTTCTATCTATCGCCAGACTCTAATGGCAGGTCTCCGGGCGGCCGCAAGGCGCCCCACTAATCTGGCCAAGGTAAGAGAAGTTACCCAAGGACCTACTGAGACTCCCTCAGTTTTTCTAGAACGCCTGATGGAAGCTTACCGGCGATATACGCCTTTTAACCCTGAGGAGGAAGGCCGAAAAGGCTCGATAGCTATGGCCTTTATAGGACAATCGGCCCCTGATATAAGACGTAAGCTCCAAAGGCTAGATGGTCTCCAAGACCTGACTCTGAGGGATCTTGTTAAGGAAGCTGAAAAGGTCTACTATAAGCGGGAGACAGAGGAAGAGAAAGAGTTAGCTAGGGACAAAAGACGAAACAAGGAATTAACTAAGATGTTGGCCACAGTTATTCAGGGAAAACCTGAGCCAGGAAAGGGAAAGCCCACTCGCCCTCCATTAGACCCTGATCAATGTGCATATTGTAAGGAAAAAGGACACCTGATCAAAGACTGTGAAAAGTTAAAAAAGAAACGGGCCAAAGAAGAACGAGAAAGACAGTCCTCACAGTGATCCCGAGCCCCCATGCTCGCCCTAGATGAAGAAGACTAGGGACTTCGGGGCTCGGATCCCCTCCCCGAGCTCAGGGTAATGTTTAAAGTGGAGGGGACTCCCGTGGAATTCGAGGTCGATACGGGAGCTGTTTATTCGGCCTTACAAGCCCCCTTAGGGGCCCTTTCAACTAAGAAATCATTAGTTCAAGGGGCTAACGGGAGCAAATATCGCTCGTGGACCACTGAGCGCACAGTTGACTTAGGCAAGGGAAAAGTAAAACACTCCTTTCTGGTTATTCCCGAATGTCCTGCTCCCCTCCTGGGACGGGACTTATTAACCAAACTGGGGGCAAAGATTTCCTTTGAGCCCCAAGGACCTCAAGTAACATTCCGTAACCCAAAGGTTGGGCAACCTATGGTTACGGTGTTATCTCTAAAACTGGAAGATGAATATAGGCTCTACGACCACCAGGATCCCCAGCCTATCGCCCCAGCCTGGCTAACTGATTTTAAAGAATCCTGGGCCGAGATGGCTGGACTTGGGCTGGCAAGCCAGCAACCGCCTGTAGTGGTTACTTTAAAAACCACTGCCTCCCCTATTCGGGTCAAGCAATATCCCATTAATAGAGAAGCTCACCTAGGGATTAAGGTGCACATACAGAGACTTTTAGACCAAGGGGTATTAACTCCTTGTCGGTCTGCATGGAATACTCCGTTACTCCCGGTCAAAAAGCCCGGGACGAATGACTACAGACCGGTACAGGACCTAAGGGAGGTCAATAGCAGGGTAGAAGACATTCACCCCACCGTACCCAATCCCTATAATCTCCTCAGCGGGTTAAATCCGTCAAGGACTTGGTATACTGTTCTGGATTTAAAGGATGCCTTTTTCTGTTTGCCTTTACACAAAGATAGCCAGCCCTTATTTGCATTTGAATGGACGGACCCTGAGACTGGGTCCGCCGGACAACTAACCTGGACGCGCCTCCCACAGGGCTTCAAAAACAGCCCAACCATCTTTGATGAAGCCCTACATAAGGATTTAGCCCCCTTTCGGGCTCAACACCCAAGCCTCACCCTTCTTCAATATGTAGATGACTTGCTGCTGGCTGCGGACTCTGAGGGTGACTGCACAAGCGGAACTCAGGACCTTTTACGTGAGTTGGCTATCCTGGGGTATAGGGCATCAGCAAAAAAGGCTCAAATTTGTAAGCGAGAGGTAATTTTTCTGGGCTACTCCTTAAAAGGGGGACAAAGGTGGCTCACTGAGGCCAGAAAACAGACTGTGGTCCAGATTCCCCCTCCAAAGAGTCAAAAACAATTACGAGAGTTCCTGGGCACTGCGGGGTTCTGCCGGTTATGGATCCCCGGATTCGCAACTTTGGCAGCTCCCCTATATCCGTTACTGAAGGGGGGATCTCCCTTTATCTGGAAAAAAGATCACCAGCAGGCCTTTGATGCCATCAAGCGGGCTCTCCTGTCCGCTCCGGCCCTGGCTCTTCCTAATGTGGATAAGCCCTTTACTCTCTTCATGGAAGAAAAAAAAGGAATAGTGAGAGGAGTGCTGACCCAGGCCTTTGGGCCATGGAGGCGTCCGGTGGCTTACCTCTCAAAAAGACTGGACACTGTGGCAAGCGGGTGGCCACCCTGCCTAAAGGCCATCGCAGCGGCTGCCTTGCTCATTAAAGACGCTGACAAATTGACTTTGGGACAGAAAATAACAATCATTGCCCCGCACACGCTAGAAAGCATCATCCGCCAGCCTCCAGACAGGTGGCTCTCAAATGCCAGAGTTACTCATTATCAGAGCCTCTTGCTCAACAAGGACAAGATAACTTTTGGACCCCCGGTGACTCTCAACCCGGCGACCCTGCTGCCGGAAGAAGCTTCGGAACCCGTCCTCCATACCTGCCAGGACGTCTTGGCGGAAGAGGCCGGAGTACGACCGGACTTATTGGATTGCCCCCTACCCAATGCAGAGGTGACCTACTTCACTGACGGGAGTAGCTTTTTGATTCAAGGTAAGCGGTATGCGGGGGCGGCTGTGACTGATTATTCCAATGTTATATGGACAGCCAGACTAGAGGACGGGTCCTCGGCCCAAAAGGCCGAACTGATTGCTTTGACTAAGGCTCTAGAGCTCGCTAAAGGAAAGCGAGCGAACATTTACACGGATAGCCGATATGCTTTTGCAACGGCCCACATCCACGGGGCCATATACCGCCAGCGGGGGCTTCTGACCTCCGCAGGAAAAGAAATAAAACACAAACAGGAAATCCTCCAGTTGCTCGCTGCAGTTATGTTGCCCCAGAAGGTGGCGATAATACACTGTAACAGCCACCAGAAAGGGACTGATCCCGTCACAAGGGGAAACAACCTGGCCGATCAGGCAGCAAAATCTGCAGCCATGGGAGACTCACAGATGTTGGTGACTGATGTCAAAGATTCTCCTCAAAAGGAGAAAGCTCAGATTAACCAAACCCCTAAAACACCTGATTTGACTGCTTACATACAACAGGCCCACCGGCTCACTCATTTGGGAGCTAAAAAGCTAAGCCTACTGGCCCAACGCCAAGACTTCCCAGGGGCATCCCCCACTGCCATACGTCAGGTCGCCAATCGGGTGGTGGATAATTGTGAGGCATGTCAATTGACCAATGCCTACCCTGCCAAGCTGGCCCCCGGCAAAAGGGTACACGGCACCAGACCTGGACAATACTGGGAAGTAGACTTTACAGAAGTTAAGCCTGCCCGATGCGGACTAAAATATCTGCTAGTTTTTGTAGACACCTTTTCTGGATGGACTGAGGCTTTTCCTACCAAAAAGGAAACCGCTGCCGTGGTAACAAAAAAATTGATGGAAGAAATATTTCCCCGGTTCGGATTGCCAAAGGTAATAGGGTCTGATAATGGACCGGCGTTTGTGGCTAAGGTAAGTCAGGGACTGGCCAACATATTGGGGATTGATTGGAAATTACATTGTGCTTATAGACCCCAAAGTTCAGGACAGGTAGAGAGAATGAATAGAACTATTAAAGAGACCCTCACTAAATTGGCTCATGAGACTGGCTTAAAAGATTGGACGATGCTCCTGCCGTATGCCCTTTTTCGCGCGCGAAACACCCCGTCCACCAAACCCCCTAACCTTACTCCCTTCGAAGTCCTTTTTGGCACTCCACCCCCCATTCGAGATCTCACTCCCTTAACTGAGCATGCTGCCTTGTTGCCAACCTCCCTGTCTGACAGGCTCATCGCCCTTGACAACCTGCAGAGGGACGTGTGGACGCAGCTAGCCTCGGCCTATGCTCCCAGTGAGTTCCCCGCGCCACATCCGTACCAGGTGGGAGACTTTGTGTTCGTCCGGCGCCACCAACAAGAGACTCTACAGCCTCGCTGGAAAGGACCGTATCAGGTCCTATTGACTACTCCTACAGCGGTAAAGGTTGACGGAGTCGCCTCTTGGATCCACGCGTCACACCTAAAGCCTGCCTCGGCACCAGTGGACGGCTCCTGGGAACTCAAACGGTCTGATAACCCCCTGAAGCTAAAGTTGCGCCGAAGGACCCCCTGAGATTATTCAGAGTACTACCCTTATGTGTCCCTCTAAGATGACCCGTATGGGACCCCAGACTTTAACCCTCCGGGCTCTAATGGGATTACTTATATTAATAATCTCCACTGTAGCTAGCCCCCATCGCCCCTGGAAATGGTCGTTAATACGATGGGGGGACTCACGTGTGGGTAGCACCTGGGAAGGATCAGGAAGTCCATGGTTTGCGCCCACACCCTGTTGGTTCTTTCCAGGGCTCCAATGTCCCAAACAAAGTCATTTTTATCTTTGTCCCGCACCAACCGGGAGTAGATCATATTGTAATTCCCCAGGAGAATATTTTTGTGCTTATTGGGGCTGTGAAACCGCTGCAACAGGGTGGCAACCCGCCTTCCCCGATAAACACCTTAAAATGACATGGGGGCCGCCGGGATGCAGCCTAGATAACTACCCACCGGCTGGTCAGAGATCCTGTCAGGTTCTAAATATCACTGTCACCACTCCTGAGGACCCAGGTTGGCTGACAGGACGCACCTGGGGACTTCGAGTCTATGAGCCAGGTAAAGACAGGGGAAGCCTTATTCTTATAAAAAAGGTTCCCCTGCAGGTCCCATTTGTGCCCATAGGCCCAAACTTTACTCTAAAGCCAAAATATAATCAGCCTACTATAGATCCTGTTACTACTGTTCAAACAACCATAGTAAGTCCCTCAGCCATAACAGTTTCTCAAGCTCCGCTACTCCAGACAGATCACGTACCTGTCCCTCAATATTCACATTCTAACCTACTCAGTTTGATTAAAGGAGCATACATGGCTTTAAATCATACCCGACCTGATCTCCCCCAATCCTGTTGGCTATGTCTAAGTCCTAATCCCCCGTATTATGAGGGAACCGCTCTAAATGACTCTTATACACTAACCCCCAACCCCGGCCAATGCGATTGGAATCAAGTATACCACACTCTCCCCCTTCCTGGCCTCGCTGGTCAAGGAACTTGTATAGGAGCAGTTGATAACTGGCCAACAAGCTTGCAACATCTTTGCCTCACACACACTAATTCCTTTCCCAAAGATCAGTACCTCGTCCCTCCTACTGGAGCCTTTTGGCTATGTACCAATGGGCTCACTCCTTGTGTCTCCACTAACGTCCTCCTTGCAGACAGCAGCTCCTGCATCCTTATAGACCTTATGCCACGCATTAAATATCTCCCCCCTAACACACTCCCCCTCATGGGAGGTCGATATAAACGAGAACCTGTCTCCCTGACCCTAGCAGTCCTATTGGGGATAGGTGTGGCGGGGGGGATAGGAACTGGCACAGCAGCCCTCATTACTGGGCATCAGTCTCGCCAACAGCTTCTTGCAGTAGTAAACCAAGATTTACAGGCCTTAGAAACTTCTATAACTGCGTTACAACAATCTCTCTCGTCTCTATCTGAAGTAGTGTTACAGAACAGAAGAGGCTTAGATCTTCTATTTTTAAAAGAAGGCGGTCTCTGCGCTGCACTTAGAGAAGAATGTTGTTTCTACACTGATCATACTGGGATTGTAAAAGACGCAATGGAAAAGCTGAGAGAGAGAATCAAATCTCGAGAGCCCCCTTCAAGTGAAGCCAAAATGTTTTCCTTCTGGGAATCAATCCTGCCCTATGTTCTCCCTTTACTGGGACCCCTGGCCGGATTCATTATAGTCATGGCTATAGCCCCTTGCCTCATTAACCGAGTAACCCAATTTGTGAGGGCTCAGATCTCTCAGGTAAAAGTTATGGTGCTACGCCAACAATATGACCCCTTACCTATACAGGACCTTTAGGATTAAAAGTCATTGGAAAAATAAAAGGGGGGAGTGTGAGAGTCGACCCCCCTGCTACAACCCCCTCCCCAGAGCGGGGAATGAAAGGGTTAACTCCCTAACTCCCCAGAGCGGGGAATGAAAGGGTTAACTCCCTAACTCCCCAGAGCGGGGAATAAAAGAGTTGACTCCCTAACTTCCCAGAGCTATCAAAACAGAGCAGTAAAGAGTGCTTCACTCCCTAAACCTTTTCCCAGGAGATAGTCAGAGCGGGGCCAAAAGGAATGTCTCTGCTAGTCATTAGCCACTAGATGTTCTGTTCTTTGTAAAGATAGAGATAAGCAAAAGAATGTACTGTATAAACAGGACCAGGGAGCACCTGGCACTCTAAGGTCAACCCAAGACCCTCGGTCTCCATGGTTACTCAGCCCCAGACCCTCAAATCAGCATTAGCCAGGTCCTGCGCCGCTCAAAATTAACCAATGCGATTTGCTTCTGTAAACTTGCTTGCCTCCTGCGTGTACCTTTAAAAACCCTGCACAAATTCCCCTCGGGGCCCCTCCGCACACGTTTGCCTGAGGGACCCCATGCGCATGGAAATAAACTTTCTTTTCCTCACCAAGAGCTGAGTCCTTGGGGTCTCTTTCCCTGCGGCGTTGGCCCTAACAGTGCTAATGGGAATTTATGTATATCTTCTATACTTTTTGGAAGCATTCCAATGAAAGTGGACCAATTTATAAAAATCAGAATATATAGAGTTCCTTTAAAAATATAACGCTTGGAATGTGTGTTCTCTAGAATCCTAAATGCCTAAAAGTTTAACTCAATTGGAGTGCTGGAATTGTTAATAGCTATATCTGGACAAAGTCAGAAATAAAATGTCCCTCAGTTGATTAACTAATGCCCAGAAAATTTATTGATGTGTCATTGCTTTTTTTATATGACAGTTACCCATTCTTTGGGAATTTTATGTTTGTGTGCTTTGTGTAGACCACATGAATCCAATCAAAGAAGGATGTCATTGTTATTACATCATTTCTATGTTCCTAGAGAAAGTTGGACACTGCTAGATTCTTACTAACAAATACTAGATTAACAAGGCTTTTATACTCTATAGGTCACAAAATAAATGCACGCTATGTCACTTTCAAAATGAAGGAACACTACAGATATGAAACTAGTGAAAGGAGTTCTGAGCTGAACATTCTAATCAAATCTAATACTGTAAATATTTACCATTTTCTGATTAAAGAAGACAATCATTTTTATAACATTGAGTAAGGGAATTGTCTCTGTTCTTTTTCTCTCATTGCTGGGACAAAATACCCAACACCCAAAATGAAGGAAAGAAGGGTTTATTTAACTGTTTGTGGAGGTTTCAGCCTCTGATCTGCTGGCTCAAGGCAGGATGGCTTGGTACAGGAACAGCACTTCAAAGCAGCAACCAGCAAAAGCAGCCAGAGCAAATGGGGAAGAGCCAGCCTCTTTTCTTCCCTTGTATTGTATGCAGCAGGTCTTGCCCCAACCCTCAGGGCAGATGTAGCAAGCACAGAATCTCCCTGCCCTCCTCTTGCACAAGGATGAAGATATTCACAAAGTAAGGACCTGGCCACCTGCAGAGTCTCTTAGTTAAACTTCTAAACTGCTCAAGTTGACACAATGTATCAACCCTAACAGGAGACAGTATACCTTCAAGTACTCTTTTTTTTCCTCATTTTTAAGAGCAGGATGGGGGAACAATCAATCCATATTTAAATAAACACTGTAAAATTAGGTTATATTCCTGAAAATCATGTTTCAATATATATCCAGCTCTGCAAGCTATAATATTTGAGCTGCTAGAGCTATATAGAGTCTCCTTTTGCCAAGTGTCTTTTAAAGGCTGAAGACTTACTCTAGTTTAATCTATTGACACTTAATTACAATTTATGCTTACTTTTATATTTGTTGAGTAAGAATATCTGACTGCAAATTCACAATCAAGTTGGGTAATTTAGAGAGATCCTGTGTCAAAGTAAAACTTAAAAAAGGATAGGGATTTGGCTCAGTGATGCGTCCTACCATGGATGAGGCCTTGGTTTCACTGTTAATCCTGTTTCTTCCCCCCTCCCTTCATCTCTTGTTCTCCTTCTTTTTGGAAAAAAAATCTTCCTTCTTCCTATTATCTATCTTTTTTTTTCCTACTGAAGAAAGTTTATTTTACAAGTACATGTATTATTCAGAATACAGATACAGACAACATTGTACATTAAGTTTTTTTTTTAAATAAAGAATCTAACATTTTATTCGTGTCAAAGTATTCTTCATTGGGATGAAGTCACTACTCAGCTATATTATTTGTGTGAATTTAGTCAATCACAATAAAAATGTCACTTTTTGGAAACTTACTTAGAAGAGGGAAAAATTGGAAGGATTATGGGATCTGGAGTCACTGTAGGCCAAGACATCTTTTCAGAGAGGGGAAAAAATGTTAAAGACCTCCTGTCAGTGACTTACATTAAGTCCTTTTAAAAGACAAATCTAACTAATCAGTCAAACAGATATACAATCATCAAACATATGTCCCATATTTTTAAGAACATAAAATATAAAACTTGAAAAAAGTCACCTTAAATGTAAGGAATAAAAGTACAATTTGTAAGCAGTCTATCATTAACACTAATCATTATACAACTTCTTTATTCCCCTTTCATGTAATCGTTACATGAAATTCTTTTACAGAGTGAGACTAGTAAAATAGTAATTCATTCAATGTTCAACAGTATTTCAAGAAAAGATACTTCTACAGCAGAAAGTACATTTGTTGTGTTTTGATTTTGTAAGTAAATCTTAATCTATGAATGCATGTCTTCTATCTTCACAAAACAATACCCTAACAATTCCCAAATTAAAGCAAAAGCTCAATTTAAGATTACGAACTAAGAAAGAATGAGACAAAAAGGGTCTGACAATAACAAGGATTTGAAAAGCATAAAAATCAGACATTTTTCTGCTTTTATGCTTATTATTCCACCTTAATAAAACTATAAAGGCAATTTCACAGTGAAAAAAACAGAAACCTAAAAAGGTTACAAAATTTTTCTACACTACCTACCATATAAACAGTAGAAGCAGAGTTGGTATTTGATAGGGCTTAGAGCTAGATTGTAATTATATTAACTATTCTCATGTTGCTTTCTCTGGAATAATATCTCCAATGTGTGATTCAGAACTAAAACTCAACTAGTTAAATTCCTTTTTTAAGCTAGAACAAGAACAGTCTCTAGCTAGTATTTCAGGTAATCTTTGCTTAATGTTAAAAACTTTCA